ATTTGAAGTCAAGTGTACCCTAAAGCAATATTACAATGCCCTTTACTATCCCCACAGTCCAAATAAAGCACTTGATACGAACCCGACTCGACTACACAAACTATTCCCTACCACACTCAAAGCAACAAAGGAAGCTCAAGTTCCCAAAAACTAGAACTAAAACAAAATTCCTTTGTATCCACTACGTTCTTCCAACCTCAGATTTTAGAAGCAAACATTAGAGAAAGCCAATTTATATAAGAAAGATTATTTTTGTTCCAAAAAAACCCAAAGAGACTTCACTACACAAAGCTAATAATAAAACTAGAAATCCCAAAATTACTTCATGAAAACCCTCTAAATGAAATACTACACAAAATTCCACACAAAGCATCTATGAAAATCTTTTGACACAAAACTCTATAGAAAAAGACCAATAATCAAGTGCCTCTATGACATTTGGAGTGGGGTAAAATCATAAAAAAAAAATCTCCAATGAAGAGACTTCGCATAACTCTTCGTAACAAAACATTCCAAAACTTATCATAAAATTTCTCAACATGAAATAACTCACAAAAAGAAAACTATTCGGAAAGCCTCCGACAATAAAAGGACCCACAAAACTCTCCAACATAAGACAAGCCATAAAACTTTCTAATATAGAAGAAACATAAAGACTTTCCAACATAAACCATCGTTCGCAAAAAGTTGTATATAACTTATATTAACCCTTATCATTTCATTAGTATGGAAAGGAACTACAAAGCCAACAAAGAATGTAGAAAACTCGTCAAAGAGAAAACCCACCTCAAACACACTTTAATATCATTTAACTTGATGCAAGAAATTATACATCTCATGTGTCAAAATAAACATCAATTCTTTCCAACAAAAGTCTTAAAAGATCGTGCATGTAAAGACTACAAAGGGGCAAATATCGACATAGTGTTATATGCATAATTCAAGTAGCAAGATGTTCACCCAAGTAGATGAATTATTCCAAACATCCTCCATTTTATTGTCCTATGTAAACCGATGCATAAAAATGTCAAATGTAATATGAGTTTAAAGAAGGAAGCCTCCCAACATCTTTTACTTCTTCTCTTTTGGAGAAAGTAAATTTCATTCAACAATATTGAACAAAAGAGACATGAATATACCTTAAGAAAAAAAAAAATTCTCTAACAAGTTTTCCGCCTTCAATCATCAAGTGTAAAACCATTACTTACGAAGGATCCAAAATTAATCATGATGATATTGTAAAAAAAAAAAAAAAAAAGAACATGCATCTCAAATTCGCAAAAAAGGCTTTAAAGTAGAAGTATAGTCCAAAGAGGAGCATTTCATTGTTATTTCTAATTGAAAGGAAGAAGGCAAATTTCAGAATTTTATAAAACTTGTTCGCTTATGCATGTATCGCTTTCTTATATAACCAAATCACCTCACATTAAACCCAAAGCATGCTCGATATTGGAATACAAAGCACCATAAACACTTTTCAACACAGATGACAACATGAGCCTCATATAAATCCAAACAAGCAAGCGAAGAAGAATCCAAATTCACAAAAGCATAGAGATATTTCATCACACGTCAACCTCATAACTAAATATGCTTCCCATCACATAAATATCATCACTTTGAATCTATGAAATGCACAATTGCTCTCTAACGAGTTTCCCAACCTTATAATTACATGTCATTAAGAGTCAAAGAGAAAGTTCTAATACCAACTTGTAAACTCGCCTTTGTACCAAATATGCCATACTTCGACAAAAATTTATAATTAATGATATATTTGGGGGCTCATGATAACTCATCAAACTTTCTCCAATGACTAAGAAATATCTCTTTCAAATCAACGAGTATAGACAAAATCCAAAGAATGACAAAATTTCATAAATATAAAGAAATACCAACCCTGTTGAAGTTCACGGAGAATAAAGTCAAGAAATAGCAAATTGAATATAAGAGACTTATTTAAATGTTTATGTCCAATGGGAGACTTAAAGAAATCAATGATTTGGCAAACTATTTTTTTTTTTCAAAAATTCATGAGATTTCGTGATACATTGCAACGTCAGAAAGCTCTCCAATCACGAATCAGACTTTGAAACTTTTCAATACAAAAGATTCTTTGACATAAAAAGTCACTTTTTATGCTCCTCACATAAGGCAAACTTTGGAATTCTTCCAACAAAAATCAAATGTACTCTGTTTGCAAAGGTTTAAGGCATGAGTATATACAATATACTTCAATCGTTATTTGTTCCGATACAAGAGGATGTACGCTCTTGTAAATTTCCTTTTTAAACCACATGTTATTTCATGGAACAAGTAGATTGCAAACTTGCATCAATATTCTCACGAGCCAATTAATCAGATGATTTTGAACATGCATTGCCATGAAAGTTTCTCCAAATTTCTCATCTAACACTAGTATCAAATACAATTCCGGAGAAAGGCTCAACGATCTTTATATACAAATGATTTTATGAGAAGCTTGCATACCCATACTACAACCATCCATTGACAAAAGGGTCATGCTACATTTACCATATCCTTTGGACCTACTAATATAGCCTTAAATGAAATACATTAAGCAGCCACTCCACATATGCTTCATTTATTACATTTCAATGAAGTTTTTTTTTTTTTTTATATGGTCAAATATGGTAACAATCTATAATCACTTGAAAAAACAAAGTTCTACCAAGGGATGGTTAAACTCTACCATGAACCCAATCAAATATAAAAATGTTTAAGATTCATAAAAAAAAACAAAGGAAAGTATGTAAGCACCTCACAATTAATTATAACCCTATAAAACCAGATGGACCTCCAACCGTTCACCATTTGTAACATGTAAAGAAGCCGTACATGAATCAATTGCTAACTCGTAAAGCCGCTCTAAAGAGAATTTACTAAATAATGTTAATGGGAATGGTAAAGTAAATCTGAGAGGACAAACACCTCTTTGATCATAAAAAAAAATTTCTCATATTTGTAAGTACGTAAGCTCACTGACTATAGGAATAGCAAACAGAACTCCTCAAAGGATAAAATCTCATGCTATGGTAAGACCGTTAAGAAGCATTGCATCAAGGGGGACTCTCAAATATTATTATCTTAAAATAGAAATGACATAAACCACTACAAGCAACGTTAATCATACCACATGAAAGGAACTATGAGGGAATCTAGTGAACTTAGTCATGTCAACCTCCCACCAACATAGAAACAAAATAATGTAAAATATTTTTTTACTAAATATGCTCACATATATTTACTTAATCTATAGCCAACCAGAGAGCATCACATACCAATCTTCTTGGAGTTCATCAAAATCCCTCATGAACAAAGTATCATCCATATGAGAGTAATGAAAGATGATGGTAAAGGAAAGGGGGAAGGATAAGAGGAAGGAGGAAAAGAAATAGAGGAAGAAGAAGAAGAAGAAGCAGAGGAAGAAGAAGAAGGGGAGAGACTTATCTTGCAAGAAAGAAGAAGAAAAAGGCAACGACTAGGGATGATCGGCGGCTTCGGGTTCGGTCTAGGCGTCGGGATCGGTCCGGAGAGAGCGACCTAGGCTCGGTCTTGCAACACGAAACCAAGAGCCGGGGTTGGACAAGGCCACGGGTTCGGCCTCCTGCAATGAGGCCGGCGACTAGGGCTTCGTGAGTAAGAGAGACGAGAGGGGGAGAGGGGCTTCGGCCCTGGAACAGAGAGGGAGCGGGGAGCTTCGAGCTCCTTCCTTCTGCGAATCAGAGAGCACGGAGAGGGAGCGGGCCTTCGGGCACTGGCTCGGTCCGAACAGAGGAGAGACGGAGACCAGAGGGGGATCTCCTAGGCTCTGCGAATGGGAGAAAAATCCAGAGAAAGAGAGAGAGAGAGAGGGAGCGAAATTGAGAGGGGGGAGAAGGGGCGGGCTGTGCGAAAATTCAGAGAGAGAGGGAGGAGCGGATGCCCTAGTCAAAACTGCGGCTGGAGCTTTTCTCTACACCAGTCCAGAGAGATCACGGGACTGAGCACTGCCACCCGGCATAGTCCAAATTTCGGGGAGATTAAGACCGTCGATTGCGTTTCCGGATTCAGAAAAATAAATTCAAATGTAGTAGAAAGTCAAGTAGGATTCAATCGGAATTGAATTTGGCCCATTGGGTTGAAATCAAGTCTACAATGGGTTCAATCCGGTTCAATTCAGGTTAATTCAAATTCGGCCCAATCCGATCAAATTAATTCAGTAATAATAATAATAATAATAATAATAAAATAAAAATAATAAAACCAAACTCTAATCAATGTTGATTCGGGTTGAGTCGAGCTTGACGAGGCCCGATCAACTCGATTAAAGGTGCTCGAGGGCGAATCAAGACAAAAACGAGGTCAACAGGCATCTCATCGTGAATCCGATCAATGTGCTTGAGGCTCTGAAAGTATGTTGTCAATCAGTTTGATCCCTAGGGGCATTTAGGGAGAGGGGACCACATTGGCATTGAATGTGGAAAGAATGAGCCGTTAAAGTGCTAAAAACTACATGAATCATTTGATTGTTGTGAAATCATTAACTTTAATATCACTTTTAGAGTGATCAAAATTGAACCTCATATGCTATTGCCCAAATTCACTTTAAACTCAAATGCTTAAGCCTATGTGTGGGTCAGCCTATAGCATATCTATGCAACAGATTTTTAACATATCCGATGTGGGATGAAATCCAATAACTCTTAACGATTTCTTGCAGAATATATAATGTAAAATTCTGCGAGAAACTTCCTTGATATTCATTGTTGTCTTGGTCCATACTATGAGCTAGTGATAGAACTTATTGTTATTGCCTTTTTGCTGCATTTATTTTAACATTCATAAACTCATTTTCCAATTTACTCGTTTGTAAAAGGTTTTTTTTTACATGAAAGTTATTGCTTTTATTTTCATCCACCCGAATGGAAACGGGGGAGGGACTGCTACCTAATCATTTCCTTCAGCTTCTTTTCACCATGTTTTTCTATCATTCTCAGGGTGTGATGAAAAGGCATGGTTTTAGCGGTGGACCCGCATCGCATGGTACATCATTAGCGCACCGAGCTGGAGGTTCTACTGGTCAGAGAGATGCTCCTGGAAAGGTACAAAATGATTTGTTAGAGATTGATAATTTCTTGTTTAGAAACTAAATATGTGGAGCAAATGTCCTTATGTCAATCTGAGTATGGAATGATGCCTCTGTTTTTCTATCTATCTTATGATTTTTCTTTGCATTTTGTGGAGGCCCTTCGGTCATGTTGTATGCAAAACAAGTAGAAACTGCTACATGTGTCTGTGATCACTTTAGCCTTTCTCCTTTAGCTAGTTTTAGAACTATATAGTTTTACATCTACTTTTTATTATATAGCTAGGTGTTTTTTTGACTCTCTGGAACGTAACAATTAAAAATCATACAATATTAGAATTTCTAAGCCCAAATTTGTTATTTTTACACATCATCTTTGCATACTAACTTGATATTTGAATGAACATGGTTACATGTACTGATCATTTTCGGCATTTCAGCTTAAGTTATTGGCAAAACACCTTAATTTTTTTAACAGGTTTTCAAGGGAAGAAAAATGGCTGGTCGTATGGGTGGAAAGCAATGCACTGTGAAGAATGTTTGGGTTTATAAGATAGATCCTGCAAGAAATATGATGTGGGTTAGAGGCCAGGTTTGTTCACCTCTTCCATAATTCAGATTTTTCCATCTTATCGAAGAAACCTCCATCAAAGATTTTATTTTTTATCAGCGAATAATGCAATAGAAGATAGTGTGCTGTCATCTTACTTTATGACTGAATGAACTCTGGCAGGTTCCTGGTGCTGAAGGAAACTTTGTTTTCGTCAAAGATGCTGTGTACAAGAAGCCAGAAAACTCATTGCTGCCCTTCCCCACCTATTTTGCCCCAGTAGATGAGGAAACCCAAGAGCTAGAACCCATAGTTGCTGATCTTGGGGATGTAGATCCTTTCATGGCAGCTGATTAGCAAATTACTGGATATCAAATGCTGCAATCTCTTCTTCTTACTTGAATTGAATGTGAGTGCTTCCGGCAAGTGCCTTTAAGGCTTCGTTTCGGACGGCTTTTTCACTGTTTCTTGAAGCAGCTTTTCAGTACAAAAAATTTAATTTTTTTAACTAAAATGCTGCTTCAAGAAGCAGTAAAAAAGCCATCCCAAACGAAATCTAAGAGAATTATCAGGTTTTTTTTGCCGTAAATTTTAGCAGTTCACATCAACTTGTAGAATGAGCATGAGCTACAACCATTTGGCCGGAAAACCACAGCTAATCTTTGCAAACTACTTAGATTATCTCCCATAATTAATATCTTGATTCTTGGAATAGAAATTGTTGTGTTTCATTAGCTCTGTAAGAAATTTCCTGTTTAAAAAGGGCATTTTATGAAATAAACATGGTTTAGTAATTGACCACTTAACTATTTTTTTGCCAGATGCTGTCAGTGCACAGCTCGTTGAAGTTAAGGAAAATACTTCTCTGCTTATTCTTCTGTTCTTTTGGAGAAATTATTTTGTGCGGAGACTGAACATAGGACACCGTCCGGAGGCTAATTAGAATGTGCCACGTTACCTAGCAAGGGGTGATGTGGCACGTTCTGCTTGGTCTCCGGACGATGTTCGGCGTCCGCACAGAATAATTTTTCGTTCTTTTGACATTCTTCTTAACAATTACTGTTCCAGAACCTGGAAGACTGTTTTATTAGTTTAAAGTATATATGTACATCTACCATCATCCTGGTTGTAAATTTGTTTTGATCGAAGCATTTCAGAATTAATTATAAATTTTGTCCAAGCTGAGTTATCTGTGGAAGATAGCTTTCAATTATTTCTGTTCTGAAGCAGACTCTTTACAATTGGTTTTTCTGTTTTGCTTGAGCTATATATTGGATATCACCCCATTCAGTTTTTATGTGAAGGAAATGTTGCAAAATAAGACTTTTAGTTGAAATTTGTTGTATTTGCAGTGAAAATTACATAGTATTTTTTATAGATATAACAGGTTCATATAAATCATAAATCTAAAGATGTCAATGAATCTATGTGATGAGTTAGTTTAATTCATTTCTATTACTTTATTAACATCTCAATTTACTATTTATTGATAGAAAAATTTGATTGCACAAATTAGTTTTATTTTTCAATTATGGTATGAAAATAATATCATTTTTTAAGTTAAAAAGATTATGAGGAGAATTATAGAATTTAAAATCAATATTAATTTTTAATTATATCAAACAAATATTTTTCTTTTAATAATGTCTTGCAACTTTGAGGAACCATTTTTTTTTAAATATTTTTTAATTGTATCTCCTAATCAATATTTTAAAGAAGTCCATTTGCTCAATGTTTTGAGTGGGAGATCCAAGAATATAAGTCACTTTCTTGAAGAATTTGGACATTTCTTTAATCCAACTTTGAAGTATGAAAGTTATAGATTGATTTCAAATTAATTCAAAAAATAAAGCAAAATTATTCTTCCACATTATTCCTCCCTCTCTCACCCCCCAATGATACCTACAAGTGTGGATATCTTCAATTGCTCATCTCTTCTCCATCAATCCATTTATGATGTTTTAAGTAATCTTAAAGATTGCCTAAATGTCTTATATCTTAATAATTTCTCTAGAGATTTTTGCAATTCAAATAACTCTCCACTATATATGCCATCATCCTTCATATCACTTGCTTCCTAGCCCTCTAATGACTTATATCTCAATCAATTTAATCAAATTTTCATTTATTTTATGTTTGCATGACTTTAAAGGAAAACTATTTTGAATGGGTGTGTAATGTTAGGTTAATAATAATTGTAATAGGTGGTTAGGATTAGGTTAATGGGTCTTCATAGTTCATAAGTAGTTAGTATTTAAAAGATGTTTACATGAGTCATTATGATCTTATAATTCTATAAATGGAGAAATTATTCTGGGTGGAGGCTAGACGCAACTCTACGTCTGGAGGTAAATCAGGTGCAGCCACATTAGCGGTACTGAGCAATACCAAGCCGCGGTACCTAGCAAAGGGGTGGTGTGACGCATTCTGATTGGTCTTCGGACGGTGTTTGGCGTCCGCCCATAATAATTTTCCTATAAATGACCCTAAAAAAATTAAAATATGTAAAATGACTGATGAAAATTTTGTTACTCTCTCTCTTTCTAAACAATACCTAAATTATAGACATTTTTAAGTTACCCTTCTCTTCTCTAAAATTCTATTTCTAATACCATAAACAAACTTGAAATTAGAGAACGTTTCCGTATCTTCTTAATCTCTCTATTTTTCTACATTTTTTTTGTTAGGGTCATATCACTCTCTTATCCTCAATCACTTAATTGAATTGATACAACTTCAAACAAGAAAACAATTTTCATTCATAACACTTTTATATATGGAGCATATTGGGCCAACACCACCACTAATATGACTAATATAGTTGACAAGTGCATATTCTCTTATGATCTCTTGAAACAAATTAGCCTTTTTGTCTTCCATTTATAATTAAATACATTAACTATATGAGAAATATGGTTAATTGGAATCCAATTCTGCTATATGTGTCATAATCAACTTTTGAAAGAACCTCATTCTTCAAAAATAGAGATAGAGAGAGAGGAATTAAGAACCTCCTGTTTTTGCTTAGTTCAATGTTGCGAATGAATCCACATTCGAGTATTTTAAATTTGAAGTTTTAGGGTTTATGTTTGGTCGGCCATGGAACAACATAGGTGGAAATCTTAGGCCTTTTAGCATCATTTTTTTTATAAGATCTTTATTGGGAGTCACCAAATTCCTAATTAATAAGAGTTTAAAAGGTTTTAAAAGATAATTTATCTAGATTTTAATTTGTTTTCATAAATATGAAATATGATTTAAATTATTTGAGCATAAAATAATATTTCAATTTTCATTTATTTTTTAAATAGTAATAATAACATACAAACGTTAGTGAAGTATTGAATTATTATTTTAATATATGTAAAAATAAAATATTACAAATTAATAAAGGAATAGATTAAATGGTGCTTAAAAAAAGAGAGTGATAAGAAGATAATTCTTATAAGAAAAAAATTCTAATAGAACTAATTAGTTCTAAAACAAAATTCTAATTTATTTATTTTCTCTGAGGACCTTACCATAGAAGTTCTCTTTTGTTTTTTTCTCACAAAAAGTAGCAAAAGTACAATGAAGTGAAAATTAAAATAACTTTTTATATATGTTTTGTATATATTTATATATAAGTTTTTAAATAATAAATAATTAAATAAACAAATGTTAATCATATTTTTGTGAAGAAGATGTAAGAAAATATATTTTTTAACTAGTAAATATATTTCATATATTATTTCCAATTAATTTGATTCTTGATAAGACTTAATAAAATAGCATACTACACTAAGAACATTTAAATAATTGAGCAATATAGTACATGGTATATAAGTAATAATAAATAATTAAAAATAAATAAATATAATAATATAAATTATATATATATATATATATATAATATATATATTATATATATATATAATATATATATAATATTAGTATATATTATATATATATATATATATATTCTCAGTTCTCTTCAATGTTCTAGAATCTATGGCTATATTGGTGGATCCTTCATTTATGATAATTTTCTCTTCTTTGATCAAATTTTCAAGAGACAAATAAATAGGCTATTTTTTGTGGTCATTACCAACACATTGATTCCTTAAAAGTAAGAGCTTTTTATAACATCTATTTATTTTTATTTTCATAACCATATTACTATGCTTGATTATAGCTTTCATTAGTGAAGGAAGCATCATTAGCTTTGAAATATTCATAAGCAAATGGAGTTAGGCAGCAATTAAAGAATAAGAAAGCAAAAGAGATAGTTAGGAAATTAAGTGGAAAGACACACTTTAGACTCTAAAAGCAAATGCATGTAGACCTCAAAGTCAATGTTTGGTAAGTACTAAGAAAGGTGCTTGTATTGACCATATGAATGTTATATATATCTATCACGTAGAAAGTTAATAGGAGAGTATGCTAGAATTAAACTTAAAATTTTGTTAACTCGAGTGGACCGGGGGTAGGAGGACATTTTCCTACTTGCTCAGATCCATCCAACTCGAACACTTCTTTATTGAGAAAATGATCGATGTACGATAAATAATAAATTGTTTGGCTTGATATCGTAATTTTGATGATATAATAGGCCAGTCATTTCACTATCCCACTAAGTTGCTTGATTAGATTACCCAATATGCTCTTAATCTCTCTATATTTTGTGAGAATCAAGGCATTTGCAAAAAATAAAAATAGGACAAAGAACTGGAACATATATAGATGAGAAAATTACAAACATATATGTATCATAATATTGAAAAAAAATTATTTGACTTATTCTTGATTCATCATCAATATTTAGTTGGTTTACAACTAGCTAATGCAATATAAAATTAAGTTTAAAATTATAAAACTCAAATTTTTATTATTGTGTCCCTATTACAAAAATTAAAAACCCACTTATTTGCTAATTACTTTAAGGTTTTGTTTGGGATGACTTTTTTATTGCTTTCTAAAACGGAGTTTTAGTATAAAATTAAAAAAATTTGTACTAAAACTCCATTTTAGAAAGCAATAAAAAAACCGTCCCAAACGAAGCCTAAATCACTTATCAACTAAGATCAATTTGCCACACCCACTTAATCGCCCATACTAGCTATGTTTTCTAAATTATGAAAGCAATAAATTTTCTTGAGATTATGACATTAATTATTTTTTGCAATCAATAATTTTTTGTTAAAATAAACTAGCTTCTTGAGTCTTTAGGATTTTAGAATGTGTTTAAAAATAATTTAATTTATTTTTATAAATAATAAATAAAGTAGTTAAAATAAAGTAAATAAATATGCTTACCACAATAATAATAATCCTAAATAAGCCCTTAAAATCTTATTTTTCTAGTTAATTTTATTTTTCTGTAGCAATCTCTATTAGTTTAAAAAGCTTTCATGCTTTATTGGAAATATGTAATATACTAAATAATTAATTATTTACACAAAAGATATAGAATAAGATTTTAATATAAATACATCGAACTGGTGATACGATAGTTATCACTAAATTTTCTATAGCACAAACTTTATTAGGCGGCAGTTGATTTAATGAAAAATTCGAGCGCAAAATATTTCAATGCATTTTTTCTATTTAATCACCAATTCTTTATATTTGATTATGATGAAACAGAAATGCCCAAATCAAAAATTTAGTTGCAGCAACGCTTTACTTTGTCAAAGTTTATCATTTGATAATCTCAAAAACTCAATCAATTTTGAACTCGCATTTCCCTCATCATTATCAATCTCCGATCTATAATTACTACCATAGCAACTATATATATCTGAGTAATTAGAGACTATGATATTAAGCTTATATAAGATA